AGACCCAACCTCTGGCGGTTTGTCCTCCTGAAGGTGCTACAGAGCACAATACAGTAACAGTAAGCGAGACTGCAAACATCTTGAGGAAGACTGGATGAGTTTACCCGTAGGAAGCGTGCGTGGAAGATGGGGCGGTTGTCGGGGTCGGCGCACTCGGCGAGGATCCTCCGGTGCAGCATCACGTCCTCGACCTTGTTCACGTCGAGATCGATGTAGTAGCTGGACGGGAAGCGATCGTAGTGGTCCTCGAGCACGCGGTCGAAGAAGGGGTCGGAGAGTGCCTCCTGGTTGCCGATGGCCCGCAGGCGGTCGTAGACCTCCCTCCTCACGCCGGACAGCTGCACCGCGCGCGCACCGCTGCCGCCGCCGTGGCCGGAGACGGCGGCGGCGTCCCCGAGCGGCCAGCAGCTCTCGCTCGCGCCGTCGCTGTCTGCCATCCGCCCGCGCGTGTGTGTGGGCCAATGCTGCGGCCATCGCGGCGCGCTTTATGGGAGTGGTGGGAGTGGGGAGAGCGAGGGACGGTGACGACGACGTACGGCGGGCGCAGTTGGTTGGGTACTTGGGTTGCATTGGCGAATCCGAGGGGGGCTCTCTTGGCGGTTGCGGCCGGCCAGAATCTTTTAGTGGGCGTCGCCGGCCGGCCGAGTAATTGTAGTGGCGCGCGCGCCACCGAGGGGCGGTCCCGTACTTTGCCGGAAAATATTCTGTAGAGCTTAGCCTTATGTGCACCCCTTTATCCAGCCATCCATCTCTGCATCGCGATTTGTGCAAGAACTTTTTTTTCGTTTCTTTTAAATAAAACAACATACGAACTTCAAATTTTGCAGCACAACAAAACATTCTAACTAGAATGTGGGAAAGAACTTTCAGATTTTTTCGTACATCATAAGTACTAAAAATAACATTTTTGAATAAAGAAAATCTCATTTTGTATATTTATGTTGGTCAAAAAAATCTATAAGTTTTTCTCTCATTGTAGTAAGAATGTTTTGATATCTTGCAAAGTTTGAAGTTCATATGTTGTTTTATTTGGAAGCAATAAAAAAAAGAAAATTTCACGCAGTAAGTTAGTTGTCTAGCACGGATCTTAAAGCTATACTAGATGGTATGAATAGGAGGTGTTCATGAGCCTAAACTCTAAAACTCCACGTCCGTACTTTGCCCTCGTGTATGGTGTATAAAAGCGGACGCGCCGGCGTGGAACGGGAGGGACACGATCCTTGCTTTTTTTCTTAATAGTGACACGAATCCTTTCTATGTTCCTCTAAATAACTCGCTCAGGTAGCAATTGATTCAAGATACAATTAAGCAGCAAGATTAGTGATCCAAGGGCCGGGAAGTAGCTAGAGCCGGGGGATAGGGGGGAGAATACGGGACGCGGACGAAGAGCACACGGAGGCGAACCTCCCTGTAATCTAGGCCACTAGGTCCGTGTTTGGGGATTAGTGCAAGTTTGCTTGTAATTGTTTCTGAATTCGCAATACAGTGCAGTTTCGTATAGACCGGTAGTAAAGACCTGTCCATGGAGTTAACGCCCATTATTAGCTGAGTTAGTACGGTCGCGGAGTCGCTGCAGTGGCAGTAGATGCCAGGTACCGGGGATATACCGGCAGGCTACTAAGCGGCTGCCGGCTGGACGTCCGTCGAAACTGCACGGGCTAGCACCACCACGGACGGCCGCCTGAAAGTACGCCGTCAAGTCAGCTTACCCTCTGGTGTTTGACGTGCTCTCCCACGTCCCCGAGGAGCATCACCGCACTATGCTCGAGCAGTGCTGCGTCGTCCATGTGATCGGGCCCGTATAATACCTGCCGTAGGAGCACCTGCCGTATAATATCAGGCAGCATCTCTACGCCGTCAATGTCTACTTGTGCAAGAATACGTGGAGCCATACACTGCAGTATAAGGGCATCTCCAGCCATTCGGCCCCACAGGACGCCTAAAAATCGCCCCCTGGGGGCGTGCCGGCACTAAATCGCGCATTGGGGGCGTGATGCCCCCCAGTCACGGCGCCCCACGTTTAAAAAAAAATTCAAATACGGCGCAAACACGATTAAAATTTAAGCAAACATCGGCGAGTTCGTTTAAACTTAAACATATTTTACAAAAAAGAAAAAAAACTTCGGTGAGCTACCCCCGCCATCCCCCTCGCCGCCCGCCCACGCGGTTTACATGTCGAGGAGGCGGTAGAACCGCATGTAGTCGCCGTCGTCGTCGTCGTCGTCGTCGTCGCCGCCCCCGCCTGCGCCTCCGTCGCCCCTGCTGCATCCCTCCCCCGGTTGGCGCGGCGGGTTGGACGGTCCGGGGGCGTCGTCGCCGTCGTCGCTGTCGAGGACCACGACGCCGTGCTCGTCCTCGCGCCCACGCTTGCGGGCGGCGATCTCCTCTAGGGCCCGGCGCTGCCGGACCATCTCGTCGCGGAGGTAGTCGTCCCGCGCCCAGCGCAGGGCGTCCTCGTCGGAGATGCCGCGCCGGGCTATCTCCTCGTACTCCGCGGGGAGGCCGCGCTCCGGCTTGGGCTTGACGAGGACGAAGCGGCCGGTGGGTGGGGAGGCACTGACCGGCGTGTCCTGGGGCTCCGGCTTGATGGGGCGGAGGCAGGGCGAGCCGCCGGACGACGAGGAGGAACTCCCGGTCTCCATGCGCCTCGGGGTCCAGGAACTTCCCCGGCAGCGTGAGAAGGACGGGGGATCGGGGTACTCGAGGGGCGGCGTGTTGCCGCCCTCGATGTACTCGAGGACGGCCTCCAACGTGCGCCCGGGCACGCCCCACCACCGGCGCCGGCCGTTGGAGTTGAGCCTGCCGGAGGGCTCGACGCTGTTGGTGGCCTCGAGCTGCTCGGCGTGACGGCGACGGAAGTAGGACTCCCAGAGCGGGCTGTCGGGGACGTACCGTGGCCCCTCCCTCGCCGGCCGCGGTAGGGACACGCGGATGCGTGCGATCTCCGCACCCCGCGCCGCCCCGGTGGGTGGTGGTGGCACCGGCACGCCATCGGTGCTGATCCTCCACGCGTCGGGCACCCGCATGTCCGGCAGGACCGGGTACCCGGCCTCGTAAAGGAGGCGAGCCTCGTCTTCGTGGAGATGGCGGCGGCCGAAGCCGTTCGCCGCCGCGCCGTCACCAGGGAAGCGCTCGGCCATGGGTGGAGACGTCGAGAGAGAGGAGAGGGAGAAACGACGGCGAAAGAGAAGAGAGGGAGGAACGACGACGGCGAGAGAGTGTGGTCGCTGAGCACGCTGGTGCGCGTCTTATATAGGCCGAGACGCCGCCCGTACGCGTGGCCGCCGTGTTACGCGTGGCGGGCGAGGGAGGGCGAGGGACGCGCATCGTCCGGCCTTCACTGCGCCGCCCGTGAGGCACCAATGGTGCAGGCTGACCGGCGCGGCAGCGCGGCAGCTTTGACATTGATTCTCCGCAGGAAACGAGGCGATGAGGACGACGAAGGGGTGAGAAGAGAGCCGTGTCGCTGACGCGGCGGGCCCGCGGCTTTTTCGCGCCAAAAAAGTTCGCCCGGCGCCCCCGGGCGCCCCCCAGCGCGCCGGGTTCGGCCTGGGTCCGCCGGCGCTGTTTTCAGCCCAGGCCAGTGAAAATCGGGCTCCTGGGGACGCGATTGGGCCGATTTTTCGGCGCCGGCGCAAGAAAAACGTCTGGGGAGGTTTTCTTGAAGGCACGGCTGGAGATGCCCCAAGTCGGCTACTGCTAGCAGTGGCCGAACACGGTTCCCTGCCAGTGCATGAGCTCGGCGTGACCCCGCTGCCGCTCTTCACTGCATGCATGTTCGAGCACGAGACCGGGCTCGCCAACAGCCACCGCCAAGTCCCTCCTCCACAAGCTCGTTGTGACGCGGAGCACCCGGAACCTGGTGCGGATGGCTGGCTGTGACGTTGGAGACGATGAAGTTGAAAGAGAAGAAAAGAGAAGGAAGATGAGATGGGTAGATGGAATAAACGGGGAATGTATTGATTCATGGTGGGCCCATTAGATGAGTAAACACAGTATTGGTGGTTGGTGATTGGGCGCTGGAACAAAAGCGTGTTGCAAGTGGGCCAGGGGAGAGACTGATTATGAAGAGAATACATCCCATACATTGAATTAAAACTGAAGAATACAGTCAACCTAATATAGTGGTACATATCCCTATGCACATTAAGTGGTGAGATATCAGAGGAGTGCGCCCGCAGGTGCTCCTACGCACTTTCGGGAGAATACGTACACACCCAGCGGCGGGAGTGAGTAGCATAAAGCTACCGCAATTCGCGTTAGAGTTCTAAGAGCAACTTCAATGGGACGATGCAAATGAACGACGATTTCATTCATTTTTTGTTTGTTTGGGTTGGCCACCCACCCGACGTCCGCCCTATTTTAAATATGGGTTGGCAGCACGCCCAACACGCGACGACCCATATGTTCCAACGTGGCCGGCTGGCTGCCCTATTTCGCATTGATGAATTTGCATTTAAACATATAGTCAAATAACATACTTTCTCCTTTTCGGTTTATAAGGCTTATCTCAAAATTTTAGTTTTTTCATTTTATAAGGCTCAATATGGTTGCTTTCCATCACATGTTCAGATTCCAAGGTGCATTAAATCATTGCATGCAAATATTAAAAGAAAATTGACCAATGCATGTAATTTATGCATGCATGCATTGCAATTAATGCATTGGTAAACATACTTTTTTGAGGAAAACAAGAGCATTAATTAGGTGCTTTTGCAAACTACAAAAAGTATTCCACCACTCATCATCTATCTTGGTTGGTGAGATTTTTGAATTGAGCCTTATAAACCGAAAAGGAGGGAGTAGTTTGAACCGAATAAAATAGCATATAGTTTACAAGCCGAATAAAAATAAAAATGTCTCACATAGTTTTGCAAACGAATAAAACAAGATACATCTATTGGTTGCCAACATGAGCCCACATATGCTCAACCAAATCATTTTGCAGTTGCACATGAGTTTTCCAATCACGCATGTCATGATGAAATTGGGTAAAATGTTCAAACGTTGTCACTCCTCCATGCTCAGACACAACATTCTCACCCTGAAACTGAAACCCTTGATCGTACAGACGTTCCGGATGCTCATCTTCTAAGATTATATTGTGCATGATTACACAAGCAGTCATCATCTCCCACAGTTTCTGCATGCTCCAGGTATTAGCAGGATACCGAATGAT